TAGGTCAGGAATCCTTGCAGTGAAGTTGTGAATCTGGGCTCTGGGCAGGCAGCATACCTCCTGTACCATGTGATCTGGGCAGCAGATGACTCCCTCTGTTCCTCTCAGGAGGGAGTTGCCCACCACAGTGACTCGGCGTTTCTTCCTCTGGCTGTCCGGTTGTCCCTCAGTCTGCATAGTGGTGGTTGTGGACGTGGCTTCCTCTGCTGCACTCTTCTCCAGTGATACCATGGCCTCATACCTGTTCCCCAGCTGTACTGGAGAAGTTGTCCCAGCCGTGTGATGTTTGGCTCTGGAGGTGACCGTCTTACATACATTTGCATTAGGTCCCCCGCTGTGTTGTCTTCCCACTAGGTGTGTGATCCTGCAGAGAATGAAAGTACCCATCAATCTCATGATCAGCAGCCCTGATCCACCGCTGCCTGCTAACCTCTGACTGGAGTTCCCTCACTTGCCTCTCCAGGGCCTCAAGCTGGGCACACATGGAACAGGTGAGGGGACTCCTGTTCCCCACCCCCTCCAACTCCCAGGCCTCAGGGCTCCATCTGGGTAGCGGCTTCAGAGGTGCCCCGGGTGGGAGGCATCACTGGGGGAGGGTCCCTAGCTGTGCACCATGTACTTACCATGGTTGAAGACTCCTCCTCTTCCACTCTCCCGAAGTCTCCATCCGGGGCCACCGATGCCTAGAGTTCAGGCCCCTCTGTGTGCCCCCCTGCGTGAACCCTGAACAATCTCCGGCGCACCCCAGAAGAGTGTGCCTGTTTGCGTGGTCTGATCATGCATATCCCTCCTGGTGGTGCTACATGGGGCCTGGAGGGTGCGAAAACCCTTCCCGATCTCCAACAGTTGGCCTCACACTTTGCCCCTCCCCCTCACTCACCTCATTTACCTATGTGTTGAATCCTTGTCTGCTGGAGACAGGCCACTCTGGTGTGGTGCAGTTGCGGGGAAGCTGAGGGCGCACACGGGCTGCTGCACATGTATGTCTGTTTTGGCATCCAGCCCTGACCAGTAGCTTCAGAGTGCCTGTGTTGTCTTCAGTGGCATTACCCCAAGTTACACCACTGCAGTTGAGTTTGGATCTTGCTCCTGGTTTTTTGGAACACCAAATTGTCAGTGATGCTTTACCATTAGTAGAATTATAATTAGGATTGCAAGTTACTGGTGGAGTGCAGGACAAATTTTACAATTAATATCTGCAGTACTCTTTTGCCCCCTGAAGAGTATTCTGTCTTGTCACTTTTCCATTTCACTGTGGCCTGTGCCAGGTGACCATTTGGATAGTATAATCCTTTCTGGAAAGTTTCTTATGGGCAATATGCAGTCTCTGCACTTCTGAATTATACTTGTGGTTCCCAGGATGCTTTATCCAAACCTACTTAGTCTTACTGGCATGTTGAGAACAAGGCAGTCCCAGAAGCTTTGGGTGTCCTTGTTCTATATTTTTGATTGTAAACTTTTTTGGGTAGGGAGTGCCTTTTTGTTATTTATTTGTAGAGAATTCCTAGGCATTACCATAATGCGAATAATGTAGCAATACTTAGGATATGTTAAGGAAGGATCTTTTATATGCCAGAATACAGAAAGTACTTCAAATGGATAACGTATAGTTAAAAAGCATATTTTATTTATTGTATTAAAAATAAGAAAATACATTATAGGTAGTCTGGTGACTAGGAAAGAATGCATGGAATCCAAACTATAAAAACAAATGTGTAGTTGGTTGTTGACTGTGAAAGAGGTGTACAAGTTTCATCATAAATGATAACACAGGGGTATTCACCTGCCAGGAGACAAAGTCCCAGAAGAGATTGCACCAGCACAATTTCTCCTTGTGTTCCCTTTGTATATCTCTTGCAATTATATGCTGCTCTTGGTTCACAGCAGTTTACAGTGTATAATGTACTCTACTTCTGGGCATATGGGATAGGTTTGCAGTTTGCTTAATTGGATGATGCTACACTGGTCTCAATCTTTTACCTGTGGCCTACAGACTTCAGTTATCTGCCTTACTGGTTAAGTGCATAAACTGCTTAAGTGCATAGACTCTCTGCAGCCTGACTGTCTACTTTTAAAAAATGGTTGGATTCTGTTTAAATGCATGATTGCTGAACCTGACTAGGAGTTGTTAGCTTCAAGGCTGTTATTACAGGCAGAAGGCTCTCCATAAAATAAAATAAAATAAGGGGCCTTAATGAGGTTGTAAATAGCTTAGCGTAGGCTGCTTTTATAGTTAATGAGCATTGTTTAGGTTGAATTCTTGTAACTGCTAAGTCTGGGCAAGAGCATTGCCTTTTGCAGTCCCAAAACTAAACACATAAACAGAGTTCATTGTGTAATGACTACAGTATTCCTCTTAGCTTTACATGTAAAGCTTATATAAAACACAGATTTTCATCCAGTTTTCATCCAGTAGAGGGCAATGGCACACATACATATGAACATGTTTATTACAGTATGTAAGAAAAAATCTTTGATTATGTAAGGAATTCATTTATGCTGCCCTCCTCCACTCTAGACTTATCACGTAAAATGTATATTTTTGGGTTCATTTATGGGCTCATTAGGGCTGTCTGATTTCTGTGTGGTGGTGGGGGGGGGGGGCACATCTCCTGTGGGCTGTGCACAGTGTGGGCAGCACAGTACAGGGGTGGTCCTCTATGGCTCTCTTGCATTGCACAGGCAGCCCCCACTTCTGCCACAATACACAGTCTGGTTCCTTTCCCAGATGCATGCACATTGTGGGAAGCCCAATCTCCTCCCTCCACTGTAGGGGCAGTGTGGACAGGACAGACCTGTCCATGGCCCCCCTCCCACCACATCATCTTACCCTCAAAGGCAGATGCAGGAACAGAAGCTGGAGCAGAGATGGGGAGCCTGTAGACCCCAGCAACCATAGCAGCAGAAGCAATAGGATGGGTGGTGGCTGAGTACCTCATGACCTGCCAGTTTGACAACTCTGATTTAATAAAACATGAAATCTGACTATGCAGCATCTTTGGTAAAAGATAGCTTTTAGAACAACTTTAACTCGGAATGAAGATACTCTCAATGCATATTTTGGGTGTTACAATCAAATATGAAAATCAAGATCAAACAGACACTATGGCCACATACAGATATTCAGTTCCTCATGCGAGAAATGATGGTGTACAAAAATAGTTGCTCCAAGAGAAAAATAACCTAGGAATAATCAGAGTTAAATAACTTAGGAATAAGCAGTTTCTCCTGGGAAAGCAAATGTTTATATACTTCTCTTCTGAGAGAAGCCACAGCATAGTACTCCAGCATGCTAGGATGCTTTGCACCCCTCCCCCTGTGGGGAGACAGTGTTTCACTCACTGGACTCTGCTCCCCCTGAGCATGGAGCAGAACATACCTGCCTCACCATCTCTATATTGTGCTTCAAGGAGACAAAGGCTGATTCTGACCAGTCCGGGTTAGCCAACCAGGACTGCCCTATACACGGCAGCCATCTGTCTCTGGGCAGACTGAAGGAGTCTGCAGAGCATGCTGAGTTCTGCTGGCTACTCAGCATCAGCACTGCAAGCTCTCTGCTCTTCAGGTGTTTAGTATTCAAATATCTGTTCAGACATCTCCAGGTAAGTTTTTCTACCAGGAGAACAAAACTAGGAGAATTCTCTTGGATTATTTGAACACGTGTACACAGCCTGTGATTACTCCTGTAACCCAGAGCAGCACTGTGTCTAGCAAAGGGCAGGTTGTTTTTCCTTGTTAACAGCAGGATTATTGGGAAGACCTCAAGAGATTCTTCTAATTCAGCCCCCTGGGTAGATACAGGATTTCACTGTTCATAAATTATACCAGGTGGATGCTTATCCAGCCACTTCTTCAGTAGAGATTTTAAAGGAGGTTCTACAACTTTCATGAGCAGCTTGTTTCACTGTCCTATGGTTCATGTAACTAAGAAGCTTTTTCCCCCTCAAGATTTAATCTAAATCTGCTTTGCTGCAGTTTAAACCTACTGCTTCATGCCTTGCCCTCTGCGGCAAAGTGAACATTTTCTCTCTCTGCTTAATGGCAGCTTTTCACATTTTAAAAGTTTCTATCATGTGTCCCTTATCTCCTTTTCTTCAAACAAAATGCACCAAGTTTGTTCAACCTGTCCTCAGATTCTAGTATATTTAAGTATTCTTTTTTTTTCTTTTTCAGCTAAAAGATTGCTGTCAGGCAACACTCTTGTTGCCTTGGTACTTATGTGATAGTTGGCTACCACTTAAGAAATATCTACAGTTGTACCCCATCACCATTAGCATACCTCATTCTGTTTTGAACTTAATTGAAAACTGAAGCTAGGAAACTTGGTAATTATTTATCCCTACAATATTTAATATTCTGATTTCATGGTTGTCTGACTGTAGTGTTTAGGAGCCAAATTTTTCCCAGGCTGTATTTACAGTTCCACAACAATAATTCCATAGCATAGCATATAAAGTGAAGGGAATATTAAGTTCAAATATTCACCATTTAAAAATGTATCCAATTAAAATGTAGGACACCATTGAGTAGTTATTTTTAGTGCTGTTAGTAATTGTGTTGTAAGCTCTTTCTTGTCTTTGGCTTTGAACAAGCTATTCAGTCTGAAAAAAATAGCCTTGAATTAGAAAGCCTTAACAGCAGTGGTCTGCAACAATAGGAAGAATAGCTCTCCAATAAAGGCATTTTGTGTTTAGGATTATAGTACCTTATTAAATACCAGGCAGTGCAATTATTTTGCTGGCTATAAAGATGAGAAAGATGTTTGCATTTGCTGTTTCACAGTTCTGTAACAAAAATGAAGCACACAGGGCCAAATTCTCATTTGGTAACATCCATATATCCATATGATGGCAAAGTAGTTCTTTGAAATCAGGGGAGTTAGTCCATATTTACCACTGTGTAACTGAGAGTAGAATCTAGTTCATAATGTTTCCCATAATTTTGTGTATAGGATAAAAAAAGGATGCTAATAATGTTTGTTTTTTATTTTCTTACATTAGATAGTATAACGGAAGTCTTCACTAACATCTATGTGACCAGTTTTGGACCTGTTTCAGACACAGACATGGTGAGTCTCTGTACAAACTAATCTTTTGTTTGCCTAATATAGAAAATCTGAGGAGACATGATATAGATATACTGCTCTCACTTACAGAAGAGCATGATATGGGTATCTCCAATGAAATCAACAGAATCTTAACATTATAAAATAGATGCAAGTGAAAGTAGAATCTCAAAGAATGTAAAAGCTTAAAGGACTGTTATGTTTAGTGATTGTTCTCTCAGCACATGTGGATTTGAAATGGTCTGGAAAACCAAGACAAGGAAAGCCTACCTGGAAGATTTCCCAAAGTTTTATAAATATTTTGGTCAAAGTCTTTGTTCATAGCCACTCTTTAAAAAGAGGATCTTATATCTCCTGTCTCTGAATGGTAATGGAGATGTCAGGGAGTTTGGGGCAGAATGCTGAGGATACAGGTGTAATGGGTGTGGCCTTGGCCATTCAGTAGTTCCAGATGATGCATGGAGTTTGGGAGCAACTTCTTTAGCTAGGTGTGTAAGGATGGGAGGTGTTCAAGTACCACACCATCACAAGGGATGTCAATATTTAAAAATATTTAACCTCAAATTATATTGGTTAGATGTTTAACTGATAACACAACAGCTGCTGCTGGGAGCTACTCCTGGGTCTTTGACTGGGAGAAGCAGGGAGGAAGCAAGCCCATCCACACAATATAGCCCATGTGAAGCCCTGCCCTGGGAGGGAAGGAGCACCTGTGAAAGAGCAGCTAATTGCTTAATTGATGAGTGATTAGGCTGCTGGCTGTTTTCCCCTTAGGCTATGGGTACTAGTCCAACCCCCACCCCACTTCCCTCCCTCCCTCTCCTTGCCTGTCCTGCTGCCTTCTGATTCCTGCGGGATCATCATCTGACTTCCCTCCCTTCTTTCTTACCAGACTGCACCTGCTTGGAGGTAAAAGATAACTGGGGTAAGACAACCAGTTATCACTGCAGTTATCTGTTAAATGATTAATCGTTTAACCTTTCTTATCCCTACATCTCAGAATGACTAACTGTGGAAAAATAACTGAAAAGATTAGTTCATTTAAATTTCCAGGAGGGAATATTCAATGAGCTCAACCCTGCAAATAACATATGCACATGTTTTTAGTTTACTAGCTTCCTTCAGGCTGTTGGGAGTAATCATGGCAGGAACAACTGATCCGAAGGTGTTTAAAAGAAACAACACCATTGACCTAGAACACAGCTTCTAGAAATAACAGTGGGTAATGCTTGGGTACCTGACTTAAATCATTACATGAGATGAACAAAGAGGGCTTTCCCATATGGGATGAGCTGCAAGTCTGTCACTAAACTTTGTGGAATTTGCAGGAAGCAAGGACTAACTGTATAAAAGACTTGGGATCTCCACTCTGGCAGCACAAGGGCATGTGGTAGAGCTTTTCCTGGCTTCCCTCAACCTAGAGAGTAGGGAAGGAGTAGTCTCTGTTTTGAAGGAGAGCCCTTGCTTGGATAAATGCTGATGAACAGGTAAAGGGGTGCTGAAAATCCCATCCCTTGTCCTTCTTCCTCACCTTTCATGGATCCTAAAATCATAGGCACTATTGTCGTCCTTCTATATTTCACGTAGGGAACCTAAAATCATAGGCCATGGGAGAGGGAGGGAAGAAGAGCACTGGCTCCCTGATAGCCCATCCAGAGGTAAGCCTGACTTGGAAAGTTCACCCTCCTCCCTCCCAATCAGCTGATTTGCAGGGGGCATTCTCCTGTAGCGGGAACCTTTCCAGAGCCCCAGAAAAGTTGACATCAGGGAGAATGGCTCCTAGTCTATCACTTTCCTCCAGGTTTACCCAGAGGAGCGCAGAGGTGAGGGGGGCATTTCCCCCACAGTAGCAACGCTTCCAGGAGCATTGCCAGTAGCATTGCCACTGCAAGAGAATGGCCTCCTACCCTCTGCAATCCTCTGGTTCAACCCAAAGGATATCAGAGGACAGGAGGAAACTGAATCAACTCCCAGGGCTCTGGCAGTGTTGCCTTCATAGGAGAACAGTACTCTGCCCCCTGCAGTCCTCCTGTTTGACCCAGAGATACCTCCCCATGGGTTCCAGTTCCAGGAGCCTTCCTGCTGTGGGAACATGCCCCTGGCCCCCCCAGGGTCGCTATAATCCCATGTTGGGAACTGAGAGGGTGGATGGAGGGTGCATTCTCCTGGGGCTGGAACCCTCTGCAGAGTGTTTGTGGCAGCTCCTGTTCTTCAGCAGCTTCCAACTGCCTATTGACAGCCTGCCCCCTTCCCAGGCAGCAAGAGGGCAGATTGTCAATCAGTGGACACCCCTAAGGACTAAGGTGGCCTAAAGAGTAGCTCTCTAGTGCCTCTGGCTGGAGAGCTTGTCTGCGTAGCTCTCCAGCCAGGGGATTGAAATGTATGTATCCTCCAACTCTTGGGCTATTTTTCTAGTGGTAGGAATTGCACAGACATTCTTACCACTAGAAGTGAACACCTGTCCAGGGCCACAAAGAGCAATCTTTAAGTCCTGTAAAAGTCCCAACTAGCTTCCTTTTCTGGACTCTTGCTTGCCATGAATTTTTGTGGGCTGATCAGGGAGTGCTACATGTAAGGCCCCATCTACACATTACACTTTAAGATGTGACTAACCAGTTAATCGTGTCTTAATTTGTCACCTGGCCATACATTCAGTCAATTAATGGTGTGATAAAAGGAGGTATAAGCCACAAAGTTATTCCACAAAATACGTGTAATAACTTTGTGACTTCTTCATGTCATGCCATTAATTGAACATGTGGCAAGGGGTCCCTGTGGCTGGGAGCCTTGTCTGCTGTTTGAGGCTTGAAGCCATAGACCTATGTGCACCCCCAAACCTGGGAGGTTGCAGCTGACACAAGCTCCCAGCTGCAGGAGCACGTGCCCCCATAATTGGGAATTCTATCAGTTGACAAGGCTCCCAGTTGTGGGAGCATCCCAGGCATACCTGGGACTGGGAGTCCCCAGTTGATATGGGCTTGGGGGGGCACTCCAAGCATTCCTGCATCTGGTAGTATACAGCCAACATGGGCTTCCATCCACAGGGGTGCTCCAGGTGGAAGCCTGCATCTGCTGTTGACTCTCAGCCTCAGGACCATTTGCAGCCCTTGCAAACACTCCTGCGGCCTGGAGCCCACATGAGCTGTGGCTAGACTTCCTACAGCTGTGGCTAGACTCCTTGCAGCTGGGAGCCTGCATCAGCTGAGCTGGCTTCTTGCCAGGAGCATGATCCTGGGCTCCCCCTGCACCAGCAGTTAGATGTGAGGGGATCTGATTTGTAATCCCATTACCATTCCTCCTTCCAGGCATATGTGGCATGGCAGGAAACACCATTGTATGGATTGAGCATCAGATTGCATTGCGCTTTTACATGCACATCTAGAGGGACCTTAACTGACAGCTCTAGCAGATAAAAGGATGATAAGTCTGGGCAAGATGCCAGAACTCCTGAGAAATAGAATCTGAGAAATACATAATGCAAGGTTTAGGGGAAATGGTTTGATTTCACTGACCTGTGTAATTTTGGGACCATTTCTGAAGAAATATTGTCATCATTGCAAACTTTAACACTGAAATAATTAAAAACCTTACAATTCAAATTTTTGATGTGAGAAATAATCTGTTTTACTTGAAAACAAATAATTAGATATATTTAGATATTAAATGCTCCATATTATGCATAATTCAAGAAAAAGGAACATTTTGGAATTACAGAAGAGGTTAGAATGGAACTGAGACTATTTTTGTGAGGTTTCAACTTGGAAATAGATCTTCAGGACTTACTGATAATGATTGGATGGAGTGTTCTGCCACCATAGATAGGGAGTTGCAGGGAATGTAAGGAGTCTTACCATGTTCTACTGGTGTGAGACTGAACTTCATCCCAGGCTCATAAGAAGGGCTGCTTCCAGTTGGCCCATCTGTAAATCATAGAATATTATTAGACTATACCTTGGTTGCTCGGGGTTGCAGGGGGTCGATTAGGAAGGCCAAGGCAGAGATAGAACGGTGACTAGCTACCTGGATCAAGGACAACAAGAAGTCCTTTTTTAAATACATAGGGGACAAAAAAAAGATACTGGGTAACATGGGGCCTCTGCAAGACACGCTAGGAAATCTGGTTGTCACACCAGATGACAAAGCTAACCTATTTAACAATTTCTTTGCCTCCATTTTCCTGAGCAGGGACTGGACCAGCCCACCCCCTGGAACCCCCTCAGGTCCCAGGGGAGGCACACCCAGGCCTAGGGTCAGTGAGGATCTAATCAGGGAACTTCTGGAGGGGCTGGATGTATTTAAATCAGCTGGTCCTGATGATCTCCACCCGAGAGTGCTGGGGGAATTAGCAGAGGTCATTGAGGGACCCCTGGCACGGCTTTATGAGCACTCGTGGTGCTCTGGTGTGGTGCCAGAGGACTGGAAAAGGGCCAATGTGGTCCCAATTTTCATAAAATGGAGAAAGGAGGGCCCAGGAAACTGTAGGCCAGTTAGTCTTACTTTGATCCTGGGTAAGCTTTTTGAGATAATTATCCTGGTGCATGTCCACATGGGGCCAGCAGGGGAGGTTATGCTCAGGGGCAACCAACATGGGTTCATTAGAGACAGGTCCTGTCAGACCAACCTGGTGGCCTTCTATGATCAGGTCACAAAATCCTTAGATGCAGAGGTAGCAGTGGACGTAGTCTTTCTGGACTTTAGGAAGGCCTTCAACACTGTCTCTCACCCTATTCTCATTAAAAAAACTAGGGGACTGTGGTGTCGACACCTATGCAGTCAAATGGGTTGCTAACTGGCTAGAGGGCCACATGCAGAGAGTGGTGGTGGATGGGTCATTTTTGACCTGGAGGGATGTGGGCAGTGGGGTCCCCCAGGGTTCGGTCCTCAGACCCGCGCTGTTCAACATCTTCATCATTGATTTGGACGAGGGGGTAAAAAGCACCCTGTTCAAATTTGCTGACAACACCAAGATGTTGGGGGATGTGGGCATGCTACAAGGGAGGAAT